CGGTGGGGAGGGGGAGTGGGTGGGGAGGGGGGTGGGGCTAACCCCGCCCACTGGGTCCACTTTCTGCTCCAGGCTGGGGAGGATCCTGCAGGGATCGAGGCTGAAGGAAGGTGCAGGGAGCCTGGAAGAAGGCCCCTCCACGGCAGTGACACCCTGACCCTTCCAACCCTCCGCCCTCCCTTAGCAGAGGGTGTACCTTGCTTGGGGCCCTTTGCATCATCCTGCGGCTTTGCTGTTTTCACCCAGCAGCTGGGGGGAGGCAGAGGGAAGGGTAGAGTCGGCCACCATGGCCACACACCTCTCCCACCCCCATCGGCGCCCTGCACTCTTGCGCCAGGCTGTCAAGATAAGGCGCCGCAGGGTCAGAGACCTACAGGATCCACCACCCCAAACCACTCAGGAGGTAGGAGTGACTACGAAGGGGCAAAGAGCCAGCGTGGGTGCTTGCAGTCTTGAGGACTGGATGGGGAAGCTGTCTGCCCCCACCCACCTACCCTCTCTGGCCCTGGGCATAGCCTTGTGGGTGGGCAGAGAGAGGCCTGCCTTGTGTTCTCTGAGCCACCGTGGGCTCCTCCAGTCTCTTCCCCTTGGTGGGTCTGTACCCCTGGCTCCCTGTCCTCTAGCTCTGAAAGCATCAGTCCCATGAAGCAGTGTCTCCAATGACAGTGGGCTGCCTAGGGACCCCTCTGAGATACCCGACAGTTGCCCGGCATTTCTGCTGTTAGGCCTCACTTCCGCAGCTGGGGTGAAGAGCCAGTGGCCGCCTGATAAGCGCTGCTGTTTCCTCTGGGGAAGGAGGGGGGGCAGGTACTGGAGAGCCCACTGCCGGGCCAGCTGAACGCCCATGGACCTCAGGCATGCCAGGCCAGGGGATGAGAAAAATGACCCAGGGGTGAGCCCTTCAGGGAGCCTTATGTTGGAACAGGTGAGGGCAATCGGTGGGCCTAGAGGCCTGAGAGGCTGAGGTGCTGGGGTCCCTCTGTCTTAGGCCTGGGTCACCATGCCTGGCTGAATAAGCCTCTGGGGACAGCTTGGTCTTTTCACCTTGCTCCTAGGTCCAGGTTCAGTCCCACCATTTCTCCTCAGAAGAGGTAAGAGGTGAAGTTGGGAGCCTGTGGGGGATGTGGGAAGCAACTCTACATCCTCTCTGAGGGAGGCCCCTCGGGCCCCAGAGGCCGCGGCTGCCACCATCTAGCAGAGAACACTCTTGAGTCTCAATCTTCTCTGCCCATGTGCCTCTTTGTCGCTTTTCTGAGCCTGAGATGATGGTGTCAGGGAGGGCTGCTGGGTGATGATGGGGCTCCTGAGGTGACCCTGCTATGTCTCAGCGGGACCTGCTGTATGAGGAAGCCCTTTATACTGTCTTGCACCGCCTGGGTCAGCCAGAGCCCAACCATGTGAAGGAGGCCTCGGAACTGCTGCGCTATCTGCAGGAGGTAAACCCAGCCCCCGCCCGTCCTTGCCCTCCCTTCCCTCCCTTATGTCCCCAGCTTCCCACACCTCTGTCCTCTCCAGGCTTTCCAGGTGCAACCTGAGGAGCACCAACAGATGCTACAGCGTGTTGGGGAGCTTGAGGTAACCAGGGCCAGGGCTCCGTGGGAAGGAGGGGGCATGGGAAGCCTGGCCCTCTCAGGAACTCAGGCAGCTTCCACTCCCATCCTCCAGAAACCAATATTTTGTCTGAAGGCAACAGTGAAACAGGCCAAGGGCATTCTGGGCAAGGATGTCAGTGGTGAGTGTGTTTGGGGTGCCCTGGGAACCCCCCCTCCATCACAGTCTGGCCTTGAACTCTTTGCCAGAGAGTCCACCCACAAACTCCCCAGCTGCTAGTCTCCTGTGCTTAGATGCTGAGTTTAGAGGGACTTTATCCACATCTCTCTGGAGGAGGCTGGGCCCCAAGGAATTCAGGGGAACGTGGCTGACTTCTTGGAGTCTTGTCCCTCACTCCTTGCCAGGGTTCAGTGACCCCTACTGCCTGCTGGGCATCATCGAGCAGGGAGCTGGCATTGCGGAGGGCAGCCCGGTGTCGAGACGTCGACAGAAGGCTGTCGTGAAGCACACCATCCCGGAAGAGCAGACCCATCGCACCCAAGTCAAAAACCAGACACTGAATCCTGTCTGGGATGAGACCTTTGTCTTGTACGTGGGACCGTCCCGGCTTTCATCCTTTGTTCCCTGCTCCCATCTCCAGCTCCTCTGGGTGTAGTCTTCTAGCCAATGAGAGCGGTGGTCTTCCTGAATCAAGAGTGCGAGCTCAACCCTCATCCTCAAGTAGAGCTGGAGGGAGACTCAGCTAGATAGAACAGACCCATGGCATGAATGCCAGTCATTCACCTGCCTGCTGTAGTGCCACACACCTGGGATGCCAGCACTCAGGAGAGTAAGGCAGGAAGATGGCAAGTTCAAGGTTAACCTAGGCTACATGGCAAGACCCTGCCAAATGACTAAATAAGCTCTACAGTAGCAGAGCAGGGACAGTTGGGCATCTCTGAGTGGTTGGTGGCCAGGGGACACTCCAGCCTGTCCTTGCAGAAGTAGAGAAGTAGTTAGGAAGGAGGGCTGGGATGGGAGGCTCAACCTCTAATCCCAGCACTTAAGAGGCAGAGGCTGGCAGGTCTTTGTGAGTTCGAGGATAGCCTGGTCTGCAGAGTGAGTTCCAGACCAGCCAGGGCTGCATAGTAAGATCCTGTACCCAAGAGAAAAGTTTAAAAGGGGAGGGAAGAACTGGGCAGGAAGGGGCTACAACTCCACACTGTGGGTGATATTAGGAATGGCAGTTTCAGAGGGCAAGTTCTGGGCTAGTGGCTAGCCCTTGTGATCCGGTCCAATGTGAGTGTGCATGGGTGTCCCACCCAGCTTACATGTTCTTTTCCCCCTGAAGGGAGTTTGAGGATATCACCAATGCGAGCTTTCACCTGGACATGTGGTGAGTGGCCTGGCCTGCCCCTGAGGACAAGGCACAAAAAGAGGCATGGGGGGGGGGTGGCAATGTGTCAGAGCGATGAGGTCACTGGCCCCTTCTCTGCCCCTTGCTCAAACCTCTGGCCTACAGGGACCTGGACACTGTAGAGTCCGTGAGACAAAAGCTCGGAGAGCTCACAGACCTGCACGGGCTCCGAAGGTGGGTGCTCCCGACTCCGGGAAGAAGGAGGTCCCCGCTTCACATGCACCCTGGTTTCTGGAGTGCAGGCTCTGCCCCAGGTGGCCGACCCTTCACCAATCCTGCTTAAAACAGGATCTTTAAGGAAGCCCGGAAGGACAAAGGCCAGGACGACTTTCTGGGGAACGTGGTTCTAAGGCTGCAGGTGAGGGCGTGGAGAAAGGCCAGGAGAGAGGCAAAGGCAGGGAGGGCTCTGAGGGACTTCAGGTTTGACCCAGCCTGAGCCTAGGTGCTGTCCCGACTGCATCCCTGTCCTGGCCTCAGCTCTCTGCAGGGTCCTGATGCTCGTCACTGTGTGTCTTGCCTGCTAGGACCTGCGCTGCAGACAGGACCAGTGGTACCCGCTAGAGCCCTGCACAGAGACCTACCCAGACCGTGGCCAGTGTCACCTCCAGTTCCAGTTCATTCACAAGCGGGTAGGCACCGGGGACTGGGCTAGTGCCCGTGTCTGGCTGGGTTGGGGAGAGCAGGCCGTATCTGGCATGGGGTCCTCTGCTCAGAGCCCTGCTGACCCTATTGCAGAGAGCCACGGTGGCCAGTCGCTCCCAGCCCAGCTACACTGTACACTTCCACCTACTGCAGCAGCTGGTGTCCCATGAAGTCACCCAGCACCAGGTATGGCTGTCTGCCACAGCTGAATACCACCAGGGACACCTGTCCAGTCCTGATAAGCCTTTACTGTTTCCCTTAGGCTGGCAGTGCCTCCTGGGATGCATCCCTGAGTCCCCAGGGTGCCACCATCCTCTTTCTCCATGCCACTCAGAAGGACCTGTCTGACTTCCACCAGTCCATGGCGTGAGTACACACCCTGCTCAGGATCCCCAGGGACCTTCTCTGCCCTGCCCTCCTACCAACAGGCTGACAGCTCAAAGCAAATCTTTTGTTTT